TATTTACAAAACAGAAACAGACTCACCCGCTTCGAGTCACAGACTTTCACAATTACCAAAGAGGAAAGGTGGGGGGGAGGGATAAATTAGGAGTTTGGGATGAACATATACATGCTACTATATATAAAATAGGTAATCAACAAGGAACTATGGTATAGCATAGGGAACTCTACTCAATATTCTCTAATAACCTGTGTGGGAACAGAACCTGAAAAAGAATGGATATATGTATATGTATAACTGAATCACTTTGCTGTATACCTGAAAGTAACACAACATTATAAATCAACTATACTCCAATATAAAATAAAAATTATATTAAAATTTAAAAAGAAAAAGAAAAAAAAGAAAAACTTGATTTTTCTCAGAGAAATCATGAAATGATTACATTATTCCAAATGTTAGTCCAAAATATCAGTTCTTACAATGTGGTAACATATTAATAAAAGTCATATTTTTCCATGCACCAAACTATTCGATTATAAAGTTTAAGTAGAATTCAAAAAGCATTTGTAAACAAAGTTTGCTTTGATACTTTATATGCTCCATGATTATTTAATTTAGAATAATTACAATATTCTTTTGTTGGAATAGTATTAAACTGGTGAAAAATCTAACCCTTTATCTAGCATGGCCCTGTATTACAATGTACACAGAAACATTAATTATTTTATTTACCTTCAGATATTTTGTTCAGATTTGCATATACAGTACCTCCTTCTATTATCTAACTTTCCTAATACCAGAATAGAAAACCAGTCAGCTTGCTCACGGCATTAGTTTTGTCTTCATTCAAGTGACTGACATTATTAAATTTGTGCTTAAATGTGATGAAATAGATTCCAAAGGAGAAAGATTTTGACCAGAGTGATAAGATCTCCATCGCCAGCACTTTTGCCCGTGCTTCAACAGCAAGAGTGGAGTACCGAAGGCAAAGTTATCAATGAGAAGAAAGAAATCTTACATTTCTCAAGTGATCTTCTACCAAGTTCACAGGACACCTAAATTCTCCTGAGCCCCAAATCTGCTGAGAATGGGCTTTTATACACCCATGCTCCAGTTTCTGGTGAACACAGAAATAAATCTTCTATCTTCTCTCTGAAAACATTTCCAAAATCTGAAAATCTCTCCTTACAACCCTAGCCCAAGCCACTGGCATCCGTTCTTCAACTGTCCTCCTTGTTGTTACCCTTGATCCCCTACAGTTCTACTCTCAGTGGGGCAGCCAGTGTGATCTTTTTAAAGCATAAATCCGATCACATCAGTCATCTTCTCAAAAACCTACAACAGCTCCTATCTCGCTCAGAAAGAATGGTAGTCTTTATGACGGTCCACCATTGTTTGCTTATATTCTGTCTCCCTCTGCTTTAACAAAAGCTGTATGAGGATGGAGTCCATCGGTTTTGTTTACTGCTTTTTAAGCACTTAGAGCAATGCCTGGTATATAGGAAGTGCTTAATAAAGATGTTTGAATGAATGAATCCTCACTCCTTACATTATTGCCTTGACCTAATAATTCCTTTTAGGTCTCAAGGGTCCTGCATAAAAGCTGAACCAGTCAAAGAAGACTGAACGACTTTTGCTTTACGATCTCTGGCTTTTTCAGCAACAACAAGCTCTCCCCAGTGCTGCTGAGGTTGAACAAAGGCTGCCTTTACTTCTTGATCTTATCTAAGCTCTACATTGGGCCCAACTGTCCTGTCAACATCTGTGAGTTTTCTCCATTTGTCCACACTTCTTGTCACCCACCCTGGCTACTAAAGACACAAAACATTTTATCCACCTCAACCAGAGCATCTTTAATATCATCAGTTTAGAATCTTTAATATCATCAGTTTAGATGAGACAACTGAAATGATGCGTGTCTGACTTCTTTCTTTTCTTCCCTTTCTTTTCCTCTTCCTGCCTTCCTTTTCTCCTTCTTTATTTCCTTCCCTCCTTTCTCCCTTTCTCCCTCACTCCCTCCCTTTTTCTCTTGCTGAAGTATAGTTGATTTACATTATTATAATAGTTTCAGATGTATAACATAGTGATTCAATATTTTTATAGAATATATTTCATTTAAAGTTATAAAATATTGGCTATATTTCCTGTACTGTACAATATATCCTTGTAGCTTATTTATACATAGTAGTTTGTACCCTTTAATCCCCTACCCCTATCTTGTCCCTCCCCCCCTTCCCTCTCCTCAGTGGTAACCACTCACTAGTTTGTTCTCTATATCTGTGAGTCTGCTTCTGTTTTGTTACATTCATTTGTTTTGTTTTTTAGATTCCATACATAAGCAATAACATACAATATTTTTCTTTTTCTGTGTGACTAATTTCACTAAGGGTAATGCCAACAAGCACATGAAAGTTGCTTGCTTCCTTTTATGGAATCTTTCTGAACTGGCATAGATTCAGTGAGAATTAGAACTCAGGACACTTTTCCTATGAACTGGCCACACCAGTCCTCAGTATACTACCATGTTTTACCCAAATTCACCCTTGCTATGCTCAACATAGTACCCTTGAAACCACTGCATGAAAGGTGGTACAGAATAGGGGCTAACAGCTCAGAGATTAAATCTACTTGGCTTGGGTTCAAATCCTTGCTCAACCGATACTAGCTGTGTCAACTCTGTCAAGTTATTTTACTTAATATTTCTTCAGTTTCTTCATCTATAAAATGGGGATAATAATTTTAGATATTTCATAGAGTTACGGGGAGGATCAATTAGTTAATACAAGTTATCGAGTACCTAAGCCCTATATACAAATTGATCCTCCTTATTGCAAAAGATAAAGCATAGTTGTCATCCTTATTCTAACCCATGCTCTTATTTTTGTCCTAATAATTGACCTTTATCCATGCCAATCCCTAAGTGAGCAACTAAGGCCTAATTAAGCAACTAATTGATAATATTGGCTTTGATATAAGGATAAATATTACTTTTGTGTGTGTTTCTCATTCATCGCTAGGTATGCCTTAGCTAATGTATTAGCTATTAAATGCAGATTTACAATGTAAATAGGTGTTTATCTGGTTAGTTCTTGTCAAAATGATTAGGTAGCTTTTGAATTCAATACATCTATGGAAATCATATGTGCTATATTATTTATATTTTGTTCAGAAAGTAATTATTTTAACTTATTGCACATTATTTGTGTTGTATTATACTTAAAAAATACGTATGTTAAACCACAGCAATATCTACTACAGTTCTGTAATTTGATTCATGCAAATCTGTCAGGAATAAAATCAACCACAATTTAATTTCAAACCTTCTCAACCAGCAGCTGTACAATTTATGCACTGCTTTTCTATTTTTACTACTAGATAATGACAATGATGAATGCCTTTAAGAGGAAGTACGTATTCATTGAAAAGACTGAGATCAAAACTATCCCCCTTCAAAAAGCTCATAGAGGTAGGAAGCCCGTTTGCTTGCTGCAGGAGATATGCTGGGAGTGAGATGGAATTATGCCCCAAACTCCATCCAATGAGGACTCAATAACCAATTAAATTAAAACTGCGATAATAATACTTTTTTACAAACCACAGTAACCAATACCATTGTAATTGGTGTCAGCTTTAATACTATTAAATATATCTGAAAGAACAAAATTATTAGCTATGAGTGCAGCCAGGGGCCCATCATTCTGAGTGTGCCAGGGTAAGAGGTATGAAGACAAAGATATTCAATTGGCAACTTAATAAGTTTAGGGTTACTGCTCTCCTGACCTATATGTCCATGAACATGGAAAGGAATGAATATTAGCTCATTAGCAGTGATTTACATATTGAATGACAATGATGAACTTACAAACTGTGCTGTCATGAGAAATTAGTTAATGTGAATTATGAGAGGTATGCTGGCATGTCTCCTTTATCAGTTGATTTTCTTTTCTTCACTGTACCCATGAGCGATTTGACTTTTACTTCAAAGAGAATAAGAAATAGCACCATACCAAAATGATGGAGTAGTTCCAGGGATCCATGCATCCCTTACTCTATTTTAGTGTATAATTTTGTAGCTTATTTGATATGATGTAAGACATTAAACTCAAATCACTCGAGATATTGCTACTCTGATTTCTAAGACAAACAAATGTCTTTATCTATTTGTATAGTTATGCAAATATGTGATATGGAATGAGATCCCAAGAGATTCATTTAGAGTATAAAATACTTTAGCTAATAGGTGCTGCTGAGAGCAAACTTATCTTCTGTCTATAATCTTATGCTATTTGCTTTGGCAAATACCAAGCTCTGGCTATACTATTATCTTTCATTTGGAGTGTGAAATGTATGATCACAAAAATTATCTTGAGACACACATTATTATGTACATTTTCTTGATGCTACATTTATTTATCTTCAGACACTTCCCTCTAAAATTCAAACCCTACTTCTTCATCATGTTTTGTCTTATCAGAATTCATAAACTTATAGTTGGTGATTTGAAAAAATGATGGATTTGGTTGGAGGCTTTTGCCTGGTGATTTTAAATAAAGTATTTTATTGCTTTGTATTCAATTAGATACCATATGTTGTGGTATTGATACTGACACTACTTTGAAATTGAATGTGAATATTATAAGTGGAAAGAATATTAAAACTGTATACAAAAGATATAATTTAAAACCTCATTTAATTTCCCCTTTTATGGGAAAAGAAAGACAAGTAATGTATCAGTTGGGAGTAAACTGTTTGTCTAGCAAAGCTTGTTTTTTGGAGAGTCCTTTCTGCCCTGAATGTATAAGCAACTATTATTTTAGTGCGTTCCTTTGTCTTAGGAAGTCTCTTAACATTAAATATTATAAAATACCTATTCAATTTTATGTTTCTCTTTCTACACTAGATTTCTAAAGCTAACCATCTTGTAAACTATTTTAAGATTTCCATGTGTTAAGTCAGAAGGCCTTCACGGTATACATTTAAGTAAAATGTTCTGGTACAGCAAATGATCAATATGATGATCTTGTAAAATCTGAATGAAAGTGCTTTGCTTTTACCTTCAGAGACTCCTCTTGTTTGAAGAGATCTTCAAAATCTTTAGCACAGAGGTCAGGAGCATTGAGAAGTTGTTCCACTTCTGATAGGGCTTGTGAGACATGAGGAATCTCAGTCAGGTAAGTAGAAGGCACATAAGAAATTTCCAAAGGCATTTCTTCAGTCATCACCATCACTGATTCTTCATGGACAGTGTGCTGGTATAGATATACAAAAGAACAATTCTTTTAGCTTCCTAATATGAAAAGACCTCTATTGAATTCATATAGATTCCAGATTATAGCTGACAGAGGGCTGGAAAGTAGATCAAAAATGCATGATGATAAGTCTAGTAAAAAGGTTATTTATTATTTATATATCCTCTCTTCCAAAATGTGTTAGAAGCATTTTATAATAAGAGATACACACACATGAATACACCATGAATATAAGATTGAAAGACCAAGAGCCGTAAGATCATGAGAGGGGTAGTTTTACCCTAAGAAAAGAATACTTTTTACAACTGGATTTAAAAATGTAATTCTAAGCTTCCTGGAAAACTAAGTATGGGGTGGGATGGGAGGGGTCTACATCTATGATATTCATACCAAAGGGAACCTTTCCTATACTTTCTTCCCCTAATCTTGACTGAGGTACAAGAGGGACAAAGTGGTTTTGGTTGGTAGCTAGCTTTCTATTAAGCACGCTTCTCCTCCAAATTCCTGACATCAGCTGTCTCTTTGGTTTTTTCTTAACATCTTTATTGGAGCATAATTGCTTTACAATGGTGTGTTAGTTTCTGCTTTATAACAAGTGAACCAGCTATACATATACATATACATATATCCCCATATCTCCTCCCTCTTGCCTCTCCCTCCCACCCTCCCTACCCCACCCCTCTAGGTGGTCACAAAGCACCGAGCTGATCTCCCTGTCAGCTCCTCTCTTTGATGCTAGATTCTTGCTAAGTTAAACTGCTTATTAAGGTACTAGATAAGTAGGATGAAATTTACACTTTAATAAGAGCTCGTGAAAGCCTGAAGATCTAAGGGAGCACCAGCTTCTCCTCCTGCATCTACACTTTCCTATCTGCCATTCAAGTGTTAGGACTGATGGGCATCTGGGGCTCAGAGTCTGTTTGGAGTCTGTTTGGTCAGGAGTGCCTCTTTC